GGGAAAAAATAAGAACCAAGATACATCATGTACAGGTACAAGCACCCAATGATAAATGTAAATGTATTGTATACCTAAAATGTACCAATAAAAGAATTTAAGGGGGAAAAAAAGAAAATCAATTCAGCTTTTGCAATAAAAAAGCCACTTTCACTACTCCCACCAAGCCAAATGCAAGAGAGAAACTCAGAATCGAGAGATTGGAACTTAGTGGAGGGCTGGGGAAAAAGAAGCCTGGATTGCTGAGAGGAGTCCCAGGAAAGAATCTCCAGAAGCTGTCTCCAGCTGGAGAAAGCAGATGGCAGGGCAGCCACTATCGGGATGGTAGGGAGGTCTAATGGCCCACCTCTGACTGGAAGACAGTATTCAGAGGGAGGTGGGGGGCTTGGCCCACACAGCTGCATGACATGTTTGCTAAAATAGAATCATGGTTTATTGAGTAGCGAAGAGCAACACCCCACTGCCTGAGACTAACACTGACAGGATGCAAAGGCAAGAGAATATTGTGTAAACATTTGCAGATCAATAGGTAATCTTTCATATATAAAAGGTCAGCTCCAGGAAGGCAGAGCAGTAAAGAAAGAAATGCCTGCAAATACAATAGTGACTTTAAAAATACCACCCAGATGAATACTTTGATGTATATTCTTCTAGTTAAAGAACATTTCTTCATTCATGAGTATTTTCCCTACCAACTTCATGTTTAAGCATCAACACATCGATGAAGAGCACTGATTTCTAGTTGTCCTGAATTCAGTGCCATCAAATGAGCAGCATGAAGTGAGATCAACACAGAACTTCAGAACAACATTTGTAAGTCTGTGTGTGCAGCAATTAGGATGCTCAAGTGGAACAGCAGCTTACCCCACACCCCTTGCATCTCCTGCCTTGGTGGCTTTGCTGCTAAACATTTATCCTCATTTAAGAAACAAAAGAACCCTGATAAGTCAACCTTCCTGGTCCCCACTGGACTACTTGATGCGTTCTGTGTTTTTTCTTTGCTTTAAAAGAGTTAACCATCCCAAAGAATATCTGAAATTGTTGCCATTTGCCTCTTCCTGGTGTCCAGGTCATGAAGCTGTTATGAGTGGGCTCAGGCACAAATAAGCATGAAAGGAGATGTGAACTGAGTTCCTCCCACCCCCAGATTCATATGTTGAAACTCTAGTCTTCATGGTAACTGTATTTGGAGATATGGCCTTTAGGAGACAATTAACTTTAAGTGAAATAATAAAGGTGGCACTCTAATCCTACAGGATCTGTGTCCTTGTAAGAAACGATACTGGGGACTTGCCCTTGCTTACTCATTCTTGCTCATTTGAGCACGTACACTCCCTTGTTGTCTGCCGTCTGAGAGTAAGGACAAAAGTGACATCTATAACCTAGGAAGAGACCCATTACTAGGAACCTAATTGGTTAGTATCTTGATATTGGACTTCCAAGCCTTCAGAATTATCTGAAATAAACTTCTCTTGTTTAAGCTGCCCAGTCTACTGGTGTTTTGTCAGAGCTGACTAATACAAGATGGAAGCTTAATTGGGCATTATTTCCCTGATATAATCTTTCAAATTAGAGTATCAACTGTGAATTTATCCTGATGGATGGGTTGCTGGTTGGCACGCCATCAGAGGGCAGATTTGTTCCAATCCCAGGGATGCCATGTGCTCTGCGCTGGAGAGGGGTACACAGCTGAGAAAGGCACTGGTTTCTAGTTGTTTCAAATGAACAGCATGGAGTAGAATTGAAACCCTTGTCTCTGTGACATAAACACCTAGCCTCAGCTTTGTGTTGGGGGCACATATAGTAGAAGATGTGAAAGAATGTTAGACAGTATGGATTATGTAACTGCTCTGGACTGAATGTTTGTGTCTCTTCAGATTTATATTTTGAAACTTTAATCCCCACATGACTGTATTTGTAGGTAGGGCATTTAGAGGGCAATTAGTGTTAAATGAGGTCGTGAGGCTGGGACCTGAATGATGAGTGGGATGGATGCTTTTATCAAATGAGGAGTAGACATAGGATCTCTTTTTTTTTTTCCTCTGTGTACAAGCACCAAAGCAAGGGCATGTGAGGATACAAACAGAGGATCAGGATGGCTGTCTGGATATGGGGAAGAGGACTCTCCCCAAGGACTGACCCTGTTGATGTCAGATTTCCATCTTCCAGAACCATGAGAAAGGTTTGTTGTCAAATATATCCAGGCTGTGGTATTCTGTTATAGCAGCTGAAACTGACTAAGACAACAGCAATTTATTTTTCAGAGTAGAAATGGAGGATTCCTTGACAATGACACAATCTCTCCCAGATTATTATTAGGTTTTTTTCTTTCCTCTGTTAGACAGCAGGTTTAAAATGTGCTGAAAAATAACCTTCTTTCAGAAAAGAATGTGACTGGAATCAGTCACCTCCAGCTTTCTGTGACTGACGCAGGAGCCAGGAGGGATTGAAGACTCCTCACCTCAAAATGAGAAAAGGACATGAAGGGAGGCTGGACTTGATGACAGGTGACACGCATTCAGCCTCTCCTAGGGTCAAAGGCAGAGCGTTGTCTCCTTCGTTCTGGCCAAGAGCCTCCTACCCCCCATCATCCTGTTGGACTCTGCTTTCTGCCAGATTCTTACTAGTTCCTCCCTTCATTAGGAAGATAAATGATGCTGGCCACAGATGTGGACCAATGATGGGGTCAATTGCTGTATCCTTTGGTTCCAAACTTTGCCACGGCTCCTCATTCTTCATTTACTTGCTCCAACCACCATTTTCAGACATGCTGTTCTTATCGGGGGCTATGGGATGTGTGTGTGTGTGAATAGACCCTTTACTTCATGAGCTTGTCCTATGCAGAAGCGGCTGGCCCCAGCCATATGGGATAATTTGTAAATGGAGGTGCCTTGGAGCTTCTTTTTCACCTCCTAGAGTCCCTGTGTTCTGTTACTGAAGGCTCTGTGACCCCTGTATTTCACTCAGGCATTTTCTTAAGGGTAAGGGAGAAAAGGAAGATGATAAAGAACAAAAAGGATGAAAAGAGAAAAAGAGTAGAAGGTATGAAGGAAACCAACTTGGTAACAGGCACTAATAAGTTTAGATTTGCCCAGTTATTTATAGTCTTTGTACTAAAAAGTTTGCAAAATTTTTTTACAGGTATAGATTTATTTGGTTTTTATAACCACCTATTATACAGATATGGAAACTGAGGTTCAGAGAAGGTAGGCTCTGTAGTTAGTAAATGTCAGTGTCCCCCTGGATTCCAGTCCTTCTACTTCATATGTATTTTTATTTTCTCTTTCTCTCCTGTATTTCTCCATTAAATGCAAAGGCATATTTCACCCTGCTCTTTTGGAACCCAAGTCAGATTTTCTAGGAACAGCTGAAGGCCTCAGTGGTCATCAGAATTCTCTGTTCAACATTTACTAGGGTTTTCCTGGTAAGCTTTGATTAGTTGACTAGAAAAAAATCATTTGCAAATATATCAATTAATTTTTAACACTATGTAGTTTATAAAATATTTTATCTATAAGATATACGTATATCTTATGTAAGCCATGTGTATTTCAGAAATCCAGTGATTGGCCCAAGATTGTATAACTAGCAAATGGTAGGTAGAGTCAGGATGAAGTCCTGGATTTTCTGATCCTTAGGTTGTACTTTCTCTGTTACCACATTTCCTCCAATGTTGTGTGGCCAACCAGTTTGGCCATTGCAGAGAGCACAGTTAAGTCTCCGTCCCTAAGGAGCAAAGCCCACTAGAGAGTGAAGCCTTCTTCAGCCTAGACCTAGACAAACTTGTAACCCTGGGCAGGACAGACTGCCTAATCTTCAGGCTGCCATGCAAAATGAAAATGCTGGGCTTCTTTTCCTTTAAAAGGTGGCATCATTTCTCCACCTCTTGTATCTAGGCTGGTTCTGTGACTGTCTATAGCTAATAAAATTTATCTGAAGGAACGATGTGCTAGTTCAAGGTTTAGGCCCTGAAGAGGCTTGGGCTCTTCAGCTGTCTTCTTGAAACCCAGGACTGCCATAAAAACAAGGCCATGCTAGCTTCCTGGAAATAAGCATCACTTGGAGGAAAGCTGAATCATTCCAGCTGAGACTGTTCAGATCAGAGTCCTGCGCTGACCTGCCAACCAACTACCAATCCATGAGTGAGCTTATCTGGGTCAGGCAAACATAATCCACATCAGCACAACCATTGTGTTGATCAAGGCACAGACAGGTGAAAGCTGATTGATGACTGTTGCTTTAAGCCTCTGTCTTTGGGAGGTGGTTGGTGATGCATGATTATTATGTTAATAAATAATGACAAATACACAGACATTATTATTTCCCTTCTCTTGATGAAGAAGTAGACTGTGTAAGGTTAAGCCCTTGCCTGTGATCAGAAGCTAGTAAATGGACCTAGAAAGTTCCACTTCAGCATCCAAAATCTTTTCTGTTATTTGGGAGACCCCACCATAATACCCGGGGCCCTGTCAAGCCCTCAGCTGGTTTGAAAGCCATTTTACTGAAGAGAGCAGTGCTTTTACTGATGGGGGCAAGCCCAAAGGATGGAGCTCACTCTCCCTTTACTGATCAGATAATATGTTACTAACAAAAACTTGAAGAATAAAGCTTTAATCTGTCACAGAAAATACATACATGCAAAACAAGAAAGGGAATATTTCTGAGGTCAAGGTCACAAACTAAACCATAGCAGGAATTTTGGCTGTACCTCCTTAACACTAAATTATGACTGAGTTTTGTAAGAGGTCTGCAGGACAGTCTCATTAATGCAAATGGCATTCCTTATTCCTGTTTTGAAAATGAAAACAAAATGCAATTATATTCCTGGAATTTGCTCATTAAACTTAAAGTCTACCACCAAGTGTCACCCCACCTCCACATCTACTCCCTTATTCCTTGACAAAAAGTAATTATTCCCCAGGGTAGCCTTGGAGTATTTTACTAAAATAAGAAGACATAATTTGATAATAAAGGCAATGCCAAAATATATAAATTCTTACAGATATCGGAGGTTGGGAAGGTTCTGGAAGGCCTCAGAATTGATGTACAGCAGGTTGTTAGCCTTTTCAATTCTACTATAAAACAGGAAAGTACATAGGAGTTACCTGAACAGCAAGAAATGCTATAATACTTTTCATGTTATGTAGAGTACTTCAATAAATCATTTATCTAGTTATCCATCCATCCATCCGTCTGTCCATCCATCCATCCGTCCATCATTTGAACAAATATTAAGCACACATACAGGATTTTTTCTTACACTAACTGTGCATACTAAATATTAACCCTGTTCCACCTGATGCTTCTCGCTTGGGACCTGTCTACTAAAGTCATCTTCACCCGAAGCAGAGTTGTCTTTAGCCACCGTAGCTCTCCCAGGGTTGGCAGGTAGAGGATGAGACTAACACAGGGAACTGAATTTTTATCTGCTCTGGAGACAAGAGAGGAGATGAAAAGCAACTGAAGAGGGTGAAAAAAGATGAGAGGGAGGTGAGAGAGCAAAAGGAGATGGAGAAACAGAAGTAAAATGGCAAAGAGAAATGAAGATTAGGATGAAAAAAATTGATATCTCTTCATTTTTAACCAGCTAGGAAGAGGCGAGTGATTCCTCTCATGTTATAGTCTGAGGCTCCTCCCTCACAGCGCACAGGAACTGGTGACTTCTGCCCTGTGTTGGCCTTTGATGCACTATGTCCTGATCAATAGTCTAGAGGTGAGTGTGTTCACATTTAGATTCCAACACAGAGTCTTTTTCTCATTTTGTTGGATCAATGTATATTTGGAGAGATACTTTTGGTTAATTACCTCTTTCCCATTTCATTAGCTTTTATGTTGCAGTAACCTGTAGCTACCCTGATCCAAATATCGGACAATCATTTTAAACACAGCCAGTGTTATGAGGCCGAGCACTTCTCCATGCAAGGAAGAGATGAAAGAGCCATCCATTGCCCCACTGCCCATTGGACTGGGTGGAGGGAGACCTGCCTGACCGTGCCCAGAGGCCTGGCTGCCCTTTGGTGCATTTCTCTGATATATGGCCTGGGTTCTGAGACTCCAGTCAGTCTCTTTGCCCAACTAGGGAAGAAGGAGGCCAAGCAGAGAGTGGAGAAACGACGGATCCAGAGGGTAATGACCAAGAGGAAGAATGAGGGCCAGAGGGTGGCTGGGAGGGAGGATGGATGGATAGGTGAGGGAGAGGGAGCCTGACAAAATGGGCAGACTCAATGTCTTTCCTAGACAAGTTCCTTGACACACGTGTGTGTACACATACACTTACATATATTTTATCTGTACCCTATTGGAAAATGCTAAAAACAAAAACCTTATTTTAAAAGAAGATACAAAGAGTTAAGAGATTTATGATCAAGTCCTTATTCTGCTGTAGGTTTGGCTGGGTGGCTTCAGACAGGCCTCACTTCTCTGTGCCTTTCTCTGTGCTTCATCTGTAAAATTGTAAGAGTGGCTCATTGATTTTTCTAGATGTGCCCCATGGAGATTCTGTGAGAGGTTAATAAATGCTACAGAAAAGAAATCTTTCTAGTGACATTAGTTGAGAAACAATATATTACTTGGATTTTCTAAATGTGTATTAGCATGAAAAATTTTCTGAGTTTTCCTCTAGTAAATGAACTTTAATTTAACTTGCCCAGTGTTTTCTAATCTTATTTTTTAATATAATCTTCTCCTGTTTTTCAAAATACTGATATTTTATTGGGTTCTTAATGATGCACAGAAAATACTTTGGAAAATTATTGACCAGTCTCTAAAGTCTCTTGCAGCCTTAGCATTTTGTGACTTTATGAATTAGTTTATGGTAATAACAGACTGGTGTGAACCAGAAATAGATCTGTGTGAGTGCTGACATGTTTGTAAGACGTAAGACTGGAATGCTAGTGAGAGAAAGAACATGTGGGTGTAGCAGCAAGGATCATTATAACATAAATACTCTATACCAGTGGATAGGCTAAATTTAATTTACACTAATCATTTCCTCCACCCATTATAGTAACCCCATAAGGTGTATATTTTATTCCAGTTTTTACAGATGAGAAAACTAAGTCTCAGATGACTATGTATCTTGGCCCAGGTTTCATGGTGAGTATGTGGTATAGGCTAGATAGTGTTCACCCTAGGACTACCCATGATCCACTTGCACCATGTGAGATTATTTTAGGTGCTGATGTGGAATGGCTTTGAGTGAGATGAAGAAACAGAGGTGCTTTCTCACAGTCACAGGGCAAGGTTCTTGAGTCCAGAGTGCATCTGTGGGAGGCAGTGAGGTGCCTGACCATCTCATGGCCATCTCTTTCAGGTTGACTTTAACATCTCATAATGATAATCTAGGGACCAGAGGACAGGGCAGAGCCAGGGCCTCCCAGAAATAGAAGAGAACTTCAAAGCTGTCGCCAGAATGGCCTTAAGACAGCTCCCTAGCTTTGTTGCTTACATTTCATGTAAGTTGGGCAGGTTGGAGAACACATCTGCCTCTATCACTTCCAAGGCATCATTCTGAGAGATCTCTCTGCAGAGAAAGAAACAGATTTCAAAGTCAGTTCAGTTACAGTCCAGGCATGCTTTCAGGGCACAACTAGAGCCTTGTGACAGAACTCCTTTCCTGCCCTCAAAGAGGTCGGCTGAAGCAATGGAAAACAAAACAAAACAAAAACAAACTAACATACTAGATGCTAATAGCTACAGGAAAATGAAAGAATAAATTGAAAGCAATGGCTCATTGTAGAAACTGTCCAGTCTGCAGATGTAGAAACAGGGAAGAGACTTGCTTAAAGGTATTTAGAAATATAGAAGATGAGAACAAACCTTAAAATCTCTAGACCAGTGGTCAGTACACTTTCTCTACAGGTCTGAAAAATAAATATTTCTTACTTTTGTGGTCATTTGGTCTCTGTCACAACTAGTCAGTTGACACTGCAATGCCAAGAGTCATATCTAACACCCTCAGGGCTTGGCTGAGTTCCCATTAAACTTTATTTACAAAAAGAAGTGGTAAGCTGCATTTGGATGGTGGGCTGTACTTCAGTGACTCTTCTCTGGACCATGGGCCAAGTTCTCTCTCTCTTAATCTGGTTTTGGGGAACAAGAACCTGAATTTAGTCTCTTAAAATAGGCATGAATTTAAATCCTCTCTGCTTTCATGTCATCACCCAAGCGGAGGTTGTTATTGCAAGACTGATGGCATTAATGATATCCTGGCCTAAACTACCCAGAAAAAAAACTCTGCAAGTCTCAGCTTTTCTCCTCCTGGAGTGATTTGAAGGCAGTGGAGAATGAAGTCCCCTATGCAGAAGCCAGAGCTTTCCAGGAAGAGAGCAGCTTAATCAGTTAATGTTTATAAAGTGCCCCACAGATGAATTGTGCTACCAGGAGACCTTCTGAGAAGGCCTCATGCACTTTCAGTGCTATGGCTGAGGACATCTCAGGAAGTCTCACAGGCAGCCCTCACTCAAACTGAGGAGACAGAACCTGTCTGCTGGCTGGGGATTGGGCTGAGGGTCTAGAAAGGCTCTGGAAAAGGCCTGGAGAGCAGGAAGGGAAAGAGGGCAGTGAGACTGTAAGCAGCAGCTCCATGAGTGAGGGCTGGAGACCTTTGGGACCTGTGAACCTGAGTGGTGGCATGGCCATTTCTCACAAGTTCTGTGAGAAGACACTTTGTGAGGAAAAAAACCCCCAAAAACCCTCCTCTTAGTCTGCAATAGCAGGGAAGAAGGCATTTATTTGAACATTTAAAGGATTCCAGAGAAATAGTTACATGTGTGGAGAATAAGGCAGAGAGGAAAAGACTGAGAAAAAAGGGGCTTCAATCTAAATGAGGTCAGGAACTGTTTCCAGGTCCACCAATAACAATCGGTTTGCTCACCACTCATGGTGATCCCAAAGCCTCATATTGGAAGACATTTCGCTACCTGAATTCAGGTATTGAGAGTTCTCTTATCTGGATTTTTTTCCCAAAGGAAATAGAAATTATTTGAACAATCAAGAAACACCTTTAATTTAATTATTTCATAAGGGAGTACATACTTTGTAGTCTCAACTTCAAAGACAGAAAAGGGCATTGAGGTTGGTAGGGGACACCTATGAGAGCAGGGACATAGGGTAGAAAAGCACATTATGGAGAAGTTAGAGATCTTGTTCACTTCATCACAGTTACTCATCCCTAGTTATTTCTGTTGTCACTGTTTGGGTGTTTATTATTCACCAGCTGCTTCTCACACATTCTCTCCGATGCTTTTAGCACAAGTGTGAAGCTGGCCTTTTGGTCTGGTTGAGAAATGGCCTGCTCCGCTGACAGCAGGCTCACTCACTTCCCCTCACATGCTCTGTCTCCCAGGTCACCTTAGGAACTGCTCTGGACCTGGGCTTCTTCATCTTCTCTGTATCACAGCTTTCCTCAGCTCTTTTGCCTGCCAGATGCAGACCTTAAACTGACAGAAGAACCAGACAGGATAAAGGAGGGAGAGTATTGGTGACTGTTGGGCATTAAAAGCCATTTGATTGGGTATTAGAGAAGATGGTGCAAAGTTCTTCTGTTCAGGAGATTCCATGTTTTTATGAAGGAAGGGGAAATGAGCATACTTGAGTCCTAGTTGTTATCATCCTATCATGGGGTGATATTAATGTGTCTACTATTATAGCTGATGCTCATTTACTACATGTTAGAACTGTTTCATTTAGAGCAGAGTTGCTACAAGTTTATACATAGGATAAAGAACAGCTAAAGAGCCATGACCAGTGGCTAAAGACCTCACTAGCACTGCAGTGACATGGAGACATGGTAATAAGAAATGAAATGCTCACTAGTGTGGTTCGGATGTGACTTGAATGTGCCCAGAGGTTTGTGTGGTGATGTTGAGAGATGGTGGGAACTTCAAGGGCCTATGGGAAGTGGTTGGGTCATTAATCCCTTGTGAAGGGATTAATGCTGGTCTCAAAGAGTGGATTAGGTCTCAGGAGGGGATTAGTTCCCTTGAGAGTGGGTTGTTACAGAACACTGAGTCTGGCCCCTGCCCAGTCTTGTTTTGTTTTTTGTTTGTTTTGGTACCAGGGATCGAACTCGGGTCCTTGTGCTTGTGAGGCAGGTGGTGGAACCACTTAGCTGAATCCCCAGCCCTTCCCCAGTCTTGTTTTAGTGCTGCCACATGGCTGGTTCCTTTTGTGCTTCTCTGCCATGTTATGACACAGCCAGGTGGTGGTGCCATGTTGCTCAGACTTTTAAGCCACCAAAATTGTGAGCCAAATAAGTCTCTTTATATGTTTGTTGTCCAGTGTCAGTTGCTATTAAGCAACACAAAATGGACTAAAATACACACAGAAATTTTATTTCTTATGCAGGAGATATTTTCTAACCGGATCATCCCCATTGTTTTCCTCCTCCCTCACCTCTCCACAGAACATTTTTCTCCAGTATATCCAACATACTCCTTCTTGAATGGATACATCAGAGGGTTGAATTGCATTAAATTATTTGTAACTGTCATCATATTGAATTTCCTTCTTTTGTTCTTAATAACCTCCGGCTAAATTTCTTTGACTATTTTTCTTGACTGATTGCCCAAGAGTTTAGGAGACTATATGCTCTGTCATAGACCCTCACATATTACCTTGGATTTGCATTCTGAATATGTGCTATTTAGTTTAAATAAATAAATCTCCCTCTCTAGGCAAAGAACTTCTGGAGGACAATGACTTTGTCTGTTATCTTAGTATTCCTGCTCCAAGCCAAGTGTTTGCTAAATGAATGAATTATCTTTGAAAGATTATAAAAGATTTTCCAACTTTGCTTTTGTACAATAAGACTGTGCTCTTGAAAACTTCCAGTAAACAGAGCCTTTGCAAACCAAATTGTATATTAACACAGGAGGGAAGCTTCTTGTTTAGCATAATCTTGGAATGAGATTTTTAAAAGAGTGGAGAACTAATTCAACAAATGTTCAACAATTTTTGATTAAGCAGCTTCTGTGTTTTGGGTACTGTTTTTTATGTTGGGAATCTAGAGATGAATAAACTAGGTCCTGGGTTTTAGGAATCATCTCTGACCCAGTAAGCCTAGTATTCTAGGCTTCCCTTAACTGGGTATTACCTTTATTTGATGGGCTATATTTAAGTTACTGAAAAAATAAAATGTACTTTTGGTACACAGTGTTGAATTTTAATATAATGGTATGGATATAGTTATATAGTAATATATAACATATACCATATATAGCATGGGAGCACATATATTTTTTACTTTATATATGTATACACAATATACAGTGTGTTGCACATATTTATTACACAATATGGAATTATAAATATTTATGTATAACTATACAATGCATATTATATATAATTATATTATGTATAATTATATATAACTACATATGAATATATAGAGTATATATAACTCAATAATGCATGTATATATAGTATATGTAATAATATATAGTATACATATAGTGCTCTTTCCCATATAGTATACCTTTATCATGTTTATGCCCTCCATTTCTTTGGGAAATGTGCTCTGTAGTTAAAGGGAGAAAAGGGCAGGTAAAAGTTCCCATGAAAATGCATTCTAGAAAAGTTCATAAAGCTCACCAAATATACATTTCTATGCTCATTAAGGTTAGATACAGAGACTTTACAATAAAGTGGAGACCTGAGTTCGAATCCTGCTTCGTTTTTTACCAGTTTAGGGATTATGGGCAAGTTACCCAGCATTTCTGAGCTCAAGTTCCTTGTCTGTAAAATGGGAATAACTACTTCACAGGAGTGTCAAAGGGATTAAATAAAATAGTATCTGTGAAAGTATGATGTTTGTGCCATGGTTGATTCAAATATCATCATGCCTGCCTGACAGCCTGCCTTCTTCTCTCTGTAGAATTTAGTACTGAATTCACCTGCAGCTAGGAGTTATTGGGGTGGATAACCATGGTGCTGGAGAACAATTGTGCTAGTAGAGGTCCTAGGACAACTTCTGTAAGCTTTAAATAGAGACATCTAGGTTATCCTCCAACCCTATGTTTAGATTACTTAGTCCTTTTTAAAATATTTATTTATTTATTTATTTAGTCTTAAACTAGGCTATGGCATTGTCCCAAACTCTAGGCCCATTCTGAGTCCCCCAGTGAGATTGACCATGTGGTCCACTGGCCACACCAAAGAGATCAGGAAGATAACATAAATGATTCAACACGGGTGGTCCCCATCCCTGAACTCACAATCTAAGAAACATGGGTAAGAACATTGCTAAAAGGCTCCTCTCCTCTCAGAGGGTAGCAGGCAAGTCCTTTCCTTTCCTAATGTCTGATATGATCCTATGTCTCAGATCTGCTTCCTTCTCGTGTGAAAGGCAAGACTTTGCTAGAGGTGCTCTAAAGATATCCCCCAAATCAGTCAATGTAATCACCATTGGACTAACCTAAGCTTTTATTCCTGGTTTTATCTCTGGTAACTCTTCATTTAATGTCCAAGCAGATCCTAAATCCTCCTAATTACTTTTTCCCATATTTCTTGCAAATGTTGCTT